ATCTGGTAACAATAAGACTATTGCTAAAGATCACATTTCCAGTTTTCAAGCGCTCGAGGCGAAGCAAGCTATGAGTCAGGGCTGGATTCTGCTCCCAGCTCTGTTATTAATTAGTTAGGTGGCCTTGGCTGAGTCTCTTCCTCTTTCTCAGCCTCTGTCTCCTCAACTGTGAGGCTGTGGGCTTGCACTAGATGGTGTCCAAGGGCTTGTCCAGCTCGACCAGTGGAGGATGATGCCTATGCCCTTTCGTCTTTGCTGCTGCCACCCCAGAGGTCTGGCATCACCGGTCTGCCCATGGAAAACCTTGACTATTACGGACCTCTTATCTCTGCATCAGAGATTCAGAGGAGACTCAAAGCTCTGTATTGAGAAAGGGAAAACCAAAGCAGCGAGGGCCAGGTGTCTCATGCCAATGTCATTTAGCAGCTTTTTCTTTCCAAACCATGAAGTTTCTTTGGACGGGGACTAGCCCGTGGAGCCATATGGATTTGGTACTAAGGTGGCCAGGCTGATTGCTGGATCAGACCCTTGTTTTCTTAAACAAGGTCATTGGAAAGGCTGATGTGGATTTCAGTTTACTTATTAGGAAGAAGGTGGAACAAAGCAAGCGGTGCTGCTTGCTATTAGACACGATCGGTCAGACATCAGACAGCATCTAAGGATGCCTATAAATCACACGAGGGGAAACTCCGAGCTTGCAAGACAGCTGCTCGTCCACTTCGGCATCGTTTGGTTTTCAACCACAGAGGCATAACCTACATTGGCTGGACACTGGGCCAGGCTTATGAATGTTGCACAAGCATGTGTAACGTGTAGGGGGTCTCTGCTCCATTTACTCGGAGGGAGCTCAGACCGAAAGGGGTTTTATTTCACAGCTGCACCTCTCAAAGCAGAAGACCCGAAGAGATGCCCTGTGAGATAAAATGGAGTCCCAGCAAAGGTTTTCTGTGAAAAGCCACACGTAAGAGTGGGTGTGAAAAGTCCTACTGAATGCATGTTTTAGTCAGAAAGCAGGATTAGGAACTATAGTCAAATCAAATGGCCACTGGCTCTCCTCCCAGAATCTCTCTTTGTTGATGCCTCAGGTTGGGCGACTGTAGGTTTGTGAAATGCTTCCCAGTTCTCTTAATCATCAGCGGCCAACGCCGCTGCCAGTTAGCTGGAAATAAACAGGGTGTTTGCACAGTTTGTTTCAAAGTAAGAATCCATGTCTCAAAGTGAAATGGCATTGTTTCATAATGTTTCCCTTCTCAGAGGAGAAAACCCCGAACAAATCATCGCATGCACTCCCTTCTCTTATCA